ATTACCTGCTCCACCCAGATTCATTCCGATTACCTGCTCCACCCAGATTCATTCTGATTACCTGCTCCATCCTGACTCATTCCTATTACCTGCTACACCCTGACTCATTCTGATTACCTGCTCCACCCCGACTCATTCCAATTACCTGCTCCACCCTGACTCATTCCAATTACCTGCTCCACCCAGATTCATTCTGATTACCTGCTCCATCCTGACTCATTCCTATTACCTGCTCCATCCTGACTCATTCCTATTACCTGCTCCACCCCGACTCATTCTGATTACCTGCTCCACCCTGACTCATTCCAATTACCTGCTCCACCCCAACTCATTCCAATTACCTGCTCCACCCTACCTCATTCCAATTACCTGTTCCATCCTGACTCATTCCAATTACCTGCTCCACCCCAACTCATTCCAATTACCTGCTCCATCCTGACTCATTCCTATTACCTGCTCCACCCCAACTCATTCCGATTACCTGCTCCACCCTGACTCATTCCGATTACCTGCTCCACCCAGAGTCATTCTGATTACCTGCTCCACCCTACCTCATTCCAATTACCTGCTCCATCCTGACTCATTCCAATTACTTGCTCGATCCTGACTCATTCCAATTACCTACTCTGTCATAACCATTTTTCCCACCAAACATTTTTCCTGTCACTCTCTTTAGCCAATCGAAATTAGTTTAGCCTGTGCGGTCGAACCCTAGCCAACAGGGAAAGGACACAGCAGCAGGGGTCACGTGTGTCAGGGGTAAGAACCCCTTCCCCTCCCTTGTCCAAGTGTGCGCTCACCATTGCTCCATCTGTAAGGGCGCACCCTTCTATAGAAGTAACTTGCCTTGCTGAGAATTAAAAAGAAAACTTTATATTTGAGTGCTATTTCTCTTGCAGCACCAAAACTTTATTTATAACAGGGGTGCAGGTCAGAAAAGGCTTTTGGGAGAAGCAACATCAAAACTGAAACCTGACCTAACCAAACCGTCTGACATTTGAAGGCTGGTCTCACCCTCTGCCCACCTCCTGTCTCCACAGTAGGCACCCCTGTTCCCATCATTTCCAGGATGATTTCTCATCCCAGGGCGAGATTTTAAACTAGAACTACCATTTCTATAAGCAAAATGTTGCATCGTCACAAAATGGAATAATAAGCCTCTAATAAAAATGGCTGAATAATAAGCCTTTTAAGAGAATGAAATTGACACATGTGGAAACATGGATAAGCTTTGAAAACGTGATGCGAAGTGAAAAAGCCAGACACAAAAGGCCCCAGTCTGTAAGATCCTACTTGTATGGAATATCCAGAGTAGGCGAGTTCACAGACAAGAAGCAGACGAGCAGCTGCCAGGGTCTGGGGGAGCAGGGATAAGCAGTGGCCGCTGAACAGAGTGCTGGTTTCCATTTGGGGTGATGGGAAAGTTCTGGAACAGGACTGTGATGGTTGCACAACATTGTGAATGTACTTAATACCAATGAATTATACACTTTAATATGGTCAAAATGGTAAATCTTGGCTGGGTGTGGTGGCTCACACCTGTAATCTCAGTACTTTGGGTGGCCAAGGCAGGAGGATTGCTTGGGGCCAGGAGTTTGAGACCAGTCTGGGCAACATAGAAAGACACCATCTCTAATTTTTTTTAAATTAGTTGGGTATGGTGGCACACATCTGTAGTTCTAACTACTCGGGAGACTGAGGTGGGTGTATGGCTTAAGCCCAGGAGTTTGAGGCTGCAGTGAGCTAGGATAGCAATACTGCCCTGCAGCCTGGGCAACAGAGCAAGACCCTGTCTCTTAAAAAAGGTAAATTTTATGTGAAATATATTTTATCATATACATGGTAAAAATCCCTACCATTTGTAAAACACTCTGTATCTGATGAGGCATTCTCCTATCAGGTACTTCATACAGCCTAATCCCCCTTCCACCTGGTGTCATTCCCCTTTTTCAGGTGAAGGAGCCGAGGCTCTGCCTGGTCTGGGGTTGCAGCAGGAGCTGGGGTAGGCTCAGTTCATCTGGTCCAGGGTCCTCGTTCTGGCCAGGGTGCATCCACCGAGGAGCAACACTGCCGACGTGACGCTCCTGCTCACGGGGGTGACGTGGGGGTGACGTGGGGGTGACGTGGGGGTGACAACGGTGCGCTGCAGAAGAATGCCATTTCCCCCACTTTGCAGTGACAACGTACAAGTGGGAAGCTCGGGGTGGGAAAGGGTACAACCTTCTTACTCGAGAAATATAACAAAAGAAAATGTGTGGCATTACCTCCTCCCCACATTGATGCCTGGGGCCTAGAGCCATTGCAGGCGATGATGGAGGGAAGGCATGGATGGTCTGTTTCCTGCAGCCAGGAGCATCCCCTGGAGAAAGCCCTCCCTAGGGCCGGCCTGGGAGGAGGGTTCCCACCAGGCTTTCTCAAGCCCAGCACAAGTGAGTCAGAAACTGTCTCCCATGGGTCCTGGTAAGGAGAAGATTTGGAGGAGGGACTAGGAAGCCTGTGGAGCAGGAGGGTACTGGGGGTGGAAGTGGAAGAAGGTGGCACAGTAACAGACTCCCTTCTCCTGAGATCCCCAGCATGGAGTAGAGGGGCCGCCCTACACTGAGCCCTTACCCCTAGTTACCTGGCAGGCTGCAAGTAGCTCTCAGGGCCAGCCAGGCAATCACCTGCATCTGTTGGGGGAGAGAAGGAAAACAGATGTCCCGAGCCCTAGAGACTCGCATTATCCACCCCTGGGTCCAACGGCAAGTGAGCTAAGCAGTTGCAAATGTTATCTGATGTATTCTTTACAAGAATGGGTCACAAAACTGAGGCTTAGAACATGTAAGAGGGACAGGGATTTGAGCCTCGGTCAGCTATGTGAGGATCTCCTGTCTGTCCCCGCTGGTTCCAATTCAGGTCTTTCGGTAAAAGACAAGAGGGTTGAGGATGAGCTCCAGACAGGCTTGTGTTCCCTGCCCTCCAGAGCCCCAGGCGCGGGACCTGCAGGCATGGAGCAGGCAGGACTACAGTCAGCACAGCCTGGCTTTGCCTGGGTCACTAGGGCCTCCACCAGGTTTGGTTGTATACGGACTCAGGCCTAGAGGCCTGCAAAGAAGCCAGTTCTTCCAGCATTATTTGTCGGGACTACTGACCAGAACTGGCAGACAGACCACCCTCCGCCTGACCTGCAGAACCCTGTCTTCAGTGAGGGGCCTTTCCAAAACTGTGCGCTGGTCTCAGTCTAAGGACATCTGCCCCCTTCCTAAGAAAGCCCACCCTACAGGTACTGTCTCACGATGGAGAAATGGCCCCAGAGGGGTTAAACGAGGCACCCCAGGCCTCATAGCTGATATGACAGCCACAGAGCCCACAGGAGCTCGCGCCGACTCCTTTGACGGTGCTTTTCCCCTACGCAATACCGCATACAAATTTCTCACCGAGCCCGTTCTTGGAAACTGGTTTCTCACCGTGCCAGCTTTTTCCCAAGGACCAAATGCAAAGCCCCGCGCGGTGCTCCACTCTGTTGTGGAGTCCAGGCTGGTCCACCCACCACCCAGCTTGCTGCCTGGAACTCACAGCCAAAGTCCCCACTTCCCTGGCCCGCAGCCACCACCCAGCACCATGTTTTAAAAACCAACTTGTAAAAGAAGCCACCCGACAGGAACCACTTGTATCTCTCTAATTGTTCCAAATTCAAAGACCATGTGGGTGTTCAAGCAGAAGCTGCAGTTCAAAGCCCAAGTTGCAGGTTTTGATAGAGGATGCAATGCAGAGCCATCCAGAATTTTTTACCTAGTTTGGCATCCCTAAAAGAGTGGAGATGTCTGTTTCAGGACATCTTTGTCAGTGGCAATGTCCACTTTTATCTAGACGAATCAAACAAGGCGTTTATGCAGTCGGTGCCTCTCTCTTCCTGTCT